ATACACCGGAAACTACCGTTATTTCCGGCGTATAAAACAACTCGGCGTATAAGACGACCCCCAACTTTGGCGCCGATTTTAACACTTGCGAAAGTCATCTTATACGCCGGAAAGTACAGTAGGTAAAAAGGGGTTTCTCCTTTTCTGCCCATTAGCAGCTATGAGCTAGGTCAGTGGTGGCGAACCTATGGCACAGGTGCCAGAGGCGGCACTCAGAGCCCTCTCTGTGGGCACATGCATCATCGCCCCAGTCCTAGGCCTTCAGCTGGGTTTTATAAAACCTTTTCACTTTAGGCTTCCGCCCCGTGTACAAAAAAAAAAAGGTTCAATCAATCAGTCAATTTCAACTTCTCGCGGGGAAAAAAAAGTTCTTGCAAAGTTAGAATTGATTGATTGAACTTTTTAGTCCCACCCAGTTTGCCATTATCACTGCAACCATGCCCACCCAATGGGCCACACCCACCCAACTGGCCACATCCACCCGGCATTCGACGATGCATAAGTGGGTTTTGGGTTCCAGTTTGGGCACTCGGTCTCTAAAAGGTTCGCCATCGCTGAGCTATGTTTTCTCTTACCTGACTGTTCCATTCCTAGTCAGCATCTTTTCACCTATTTCTCAAGGTCTTTCTCACATATTATTACAATCTGTGTTCAAATGGAAGTAAGCAAAACAACTGACACAAACAGTGAGCTTTTGGAAAAGAATACCAACAATTGCTTGGTAGGAGTCAGCACTGATTTATTGAGAATAAATTATGACCTACCAACTTGGTATGTTTTCTTTGATAGAACAACCAGTTTAGCTGACCACAGGAATGTGATGGACATGATGCATTCTGATTTCAGCAAAGGATTTGACAAAGCACTGGATTTGACTATGCACTGGATAGACACAAAAAAAATGTAATAGGCCCTGTGCTTTGAAGAACTAATATCTAGCACTTTGAATTTGCGCCCAGAAGCAAACAGGTAGCCAATGCAGTTTGTGTAGCAGCAAATGCTACAAGCAAATACTAGAGCCAGTTTTGTCTAGTGGTTAAGGCACCAGGCTAGAAAGTGGGAAACCATGAGGTATAGTGCTGCCTTAGCCACGAAAGCTAGCTGGGGGACAAAGGATTTGGGAATATAGCGAAGTGTGGACTAGATTACACCGCCATTAGATAGATGGAGAAATTGTTAAACAATTATACCAAAGTTTATGCATCAATTACATATAACTCGGAAGTATAAACCAATGTTCTATAGGCCTTTCTTAAGCCCTGTACTGTTAACTATTTATTAGATTTGTCAAGGCCACTCAATTCCCCCCCCCCAAACACACACACACAACTTTCTGGGAAGCTTGTAGTATGTCTAATACAAAGGATTAAAAAATACAACTAACTCAGCAATCCTAACACTGAGAAAAAGCTTGACAGAGGGTCCATAGACACCCTAGTTCCAGGTTTGGGAACAGAACCATGTCTTAAGGGACTTCTGGAACCCTTGGGGAATAGAATCAATGCATATCTCCAGGGGATGTTTTGCTACAGAAGGCAGGGGCTGCAATAGAGAAGGCATGCTTCCTTGGTCCCACAAAACAACATATTATAATTGAAGGGATTGGAGCATACCCACTCTGCCAGAATGCACTGGATAGACACAAAAAAAATGTAATAGGCCCTGTGCTTTGAAGAACTAATATCTAGCACTTTGAATTTGCGCCCAGAAGCAAACAGGTAGCCAATGCAGTTTGTGTAGCAGCAAATGCTACAAGCAAATACTAGAGCCAGTTTTGTCTAGTGGTTAAGGCACCAGGCTAGAAAGTGGGAAACCATGAGGTATAGTGCTGCCTTAGCCACGAAAGCTAGCTGGGGGACTTCGGGCCAGTCACTCTCTCTCAGCCTAACCTACCTCACGGAGGTAACTGTTGTGGAAAAAATAGGAGGAAGGTGTGTTGGATGTTTTGCCATCTTAAGTTGTTTGTAAAAATAATAAAATAGACATGAGCATAATGGGAAACACTCATTACTGCTCATACTGCTCCATTTGGACCCAGCATGGCCTTCAAGGGCAATAGCATGTAGAGTACATTGTAGTCCATTTATGAGGTGACTAGGGCATGAGTGACTATCTAAAGCAGGGGTCTTCAAACTTGGCCCTTTTATGACTTATGGACTTCAACTCCCAGAATTCCTCAGCCAGCGTGCTTGGCTGAGGAATTCTGGGAGTTGAAGTCCACAAGTTATAAAAGGGCCAAGTTTGAAGACCCCTGATCTAAAGAGCCTTCTGGTCAAGAAAAAAATGCAACTGGTGCACAAGATAAACTCATGCAATGGCCTACCTGGTCACAACTACCACCTGCTCTGTATTTATCACTACTTTTGGATGAGGGATTAGAAAAGTGGGATTATCCGATTTTTGGACAATAGAAAGCCGAGGCCCACTGTAATTTATTCAACTAAAACTAATAGAACTATGGCTTCGTACAATATGCAAACCAAACAACACAGTAGGGAAGAGAAGTCAAACTGTAATAGACAAGCTGAAAAATTGTATCCAAATAATATCACAGGGGAATTCTCAGGAAAGATGTTTTTGTAATGAAACTGAAATTATATCTACACCTGCTCGTCTTAGAAGAATTTTCCATCTGTGGTCTGAGAACTATTTGCATCCAAGCACCTAGTAAAAGTGTCTCTAATCTCTACAAAACTAGTTGTGTTCTTCCAGAGTAGCAGTAATATATCAGAAAGAAACGGTTCACAATATGAGTCTTCTTTCAATAAATATTTTTGGTAAAATTCTTAGATGTTGCATGAAGAATGTATTTTACCAAGGAATGAAACATTAGTGGTTGTCTTTAGCACTATATAAGTGACTCTACAGATAAAGATTATTTTACAGATTTTCACTTGGATTTCTGTCTTTTCAAATCAACAGTTAAAGCTCATGTTTGAGACAAGGATCAGTGAAGACCAACCAATTCTAATTTACCAAAGATGGCCAGTCCATTATTGTGTAGGAGGGAAAATAAAATTTAAATGAAAAAGGAGAAAGAAAGCAAGGCAGAAATATTTTGTTTGCTTTATTCAGAATACTGTAGTGGATTATCATTCCATCATTCTATATTAGACCTGTACTTCTGACTTAACGATGTGAAAAAATTAAAAGATTATTCTAATATTATCATCTGTCAAAAATTTAAAGGCGCTTTAGTTCTATTCAGTAATTCACACAAACATTCACTTTTCATTGTTCATGCTAAGATTTTTACAGAATCTACTAAGAGTTTTAAAAGCTTTTTCTTCCACTACAAAAAAGAGCTCCATTTTAAAAAGTTAATATGATTTCAAGAGTTTGTGGTGTTCTCTGCATTTAAAGCATGCATACTTTTCCTAGATAACTCTCAATGTGAGGTGATAAAGCTTTTCTACTCGATGTTCAGAACTTCAAAGCTAACTCAATTATCCCAAAACCTTCAGTGAAAAAGCTCATATATGAAATGTAACAACACACAGAGTGATCTTACAGAAGGGAGAGGGCAGACATAGTTCCAGAATTGCTTCTCATTTTAGTGCCTCCCAGAGCTCATGTTGTTAACTACATTTTATCCTATAGATCCAGAGTTTAACAATTGAATTGGGAGGGGGGGACTAGAACAGATATAAGACTGATTATACCAGTAGCCCTGTCAATCAAGTTTTTCTCCTAGTTGAAGGGTAGTTTGCTACTTCACTGTAATAACAGTAAGCATTAATAATAAATATTAAAAAACAAGTCTACAAAATGACAGAGGAAATGGAAAAAACCACACACTCACCAAGTGTTCCTGTTTTGAGACTGAGGTAGGGAAAAAGTCCAGAGAATCAAGGGAAGTGGAAAACAAATATTGAGGAATGTGTTGCATTTGCAGGCAAGGTCACAAATCTAAGCACCCATGTAAATTTCAGCTATCAATCTTCCATCCTCACCTCTTTTAAGGAAATATTTGCAGTTCTTATACACAGTACTATTTTTAACCAGAATTTGTAGAATTGTCCTTTACATAAAATGAAAACTCAAATCCACATCGTAAGCCAATAGAGTGAGAAATCTGAATGAACATAATTAAGACCAAGCCAAAAGCAATTCTATGGATCTGGGAGTCCATCCAAGTGGGATTTACTGCTGAGTAATCCCACATCAGAATAGGATGTAAGCAGCCGGAGCTTGGTGGGTTTTGTTGTTGTTGTTGTTGTTGTTGCTTGGACGCAGGTATGAAGCACTAGCTCCAACAATTAACCTTTGGGCTATATGCAATTTACCCGGGGAAAAGCCCCACACACACACACAAAAACACACACGCATACTAAAGAAATACTTTCAAGCAGGCAGACGATTACACAATGACATACAACGAGCCTTGACTAAGAGGTGAGCAGATCTCTGCTTTCATTGTTAAGGGTCTTGTTTTGCAGAGGAGCAAAATACACGCAGATTCTTCCCCAGATGAAACCGAGAGCCAACACCTGGTACTGCCACAGGCATCCCACCTCACAGAGACTAGGTGATGACTTCCCCCGGTTCCCAATTAAACAAAACCGCAAAAAAAAAAAAAAAAAGTGCGTTAACCAACGGTACTCGGGGAAAAAACCGGGCAAAGCCTCGGGAACCGTTCAGCAGGAAGGGCGCGGGGGTTTCTTGGAGGCAACTGCCCGCCAACTCTCTCGTGCAAGAGAGCCTCCCAAGCTCCGACCGCAGCGCCTCCCGTGAGCCACCCTCCCCCGCCCCTGCCTCCCGAGGCCAAAGAAGTTTAACTTCTGGCGCTGCCGGAGCTCCCGCCTAACTTGCGCCGGTTGCTTCTGGATGACACTCGGGCGACAGCCGCACCCGCCCACCCCACCCCCCGACTGTCCCACAAACAGCTCTCCCTGGGTCCCAAGCCAAGCGCCCGCAGAAAAACTCGCCCGCTGCCCGCTACATCCGTCAAGAATCGTCCTCCCAAAGGAGAACCTTCCCCGCGGATGCCGGGTGCTTACCAAAAGAGTAAGCAGTAACAGCAGCATTCTCCTTCCGCAGACCGGAGCCCCCTTGAAACTGCGTCCCGGCTGAGCCATAATAACCGAGCTCGCTCCAGCTCCGGCTCCCGCTCGCGCTGGAAGAACGAGCGGCTGCTGCCACGTCTGGTTAGGCATGCGCAATCCATGGGGAGAAAAAAATCATCTGCTATACCGTACTGGAGCCGAAGAGTGAGCGGTGAAGTGCATGCTGGGGGCTGTAGTCTCTGCCGGGTGAGCGGCTCGGGTAGGGCGAGGAAACAGGTGGCAGTTAAGAATTGGAACGCCCGTTCGCCGCCGAATGGGAGGCGCTCATTCACAGGGGGAGAGAGGAAATGGGGAGGGAAAACACAGTGACTTGGAGTAAAGATGCGTCCCTTCTAATAAATTGAGAACGGCGGAGGAACTGTATCAACCGGGAAAGCCGAGGTTCGAATCTCATCCCAGATCAGAGCCCTTCTATCTAAATCGATTGCTTTTATGTTTTTTTTTTCCTTCAGGGATGGTTTTGTTAATACAGATAGTCCTTGACTTACAACAGTTAATTTAGTGACCGTTCAAAGTTACAACGGCCACTGAAAAATGTGACCTATGACCATTTTTCAAGTTACAATCTTTGCAGTATCCCCATGGTCATGTGATCAAAATTCAGATGCTTGGCAACTGACTCATATTTATGACCGTTGCTGTGTCTCAAGGTCATGTGATCACCTTTTGCAAGCTACTGACAAAGTCAATGGGGAAGCTAGATTCACTTAACAACCAGGCTACTAACTTATCAACTGCAGTGATTCATTTAACCACTGTGGCAGGAAAAGTTATAAAATGGGGGAAAATTCACTTAACAAGTATCTCACTTGACAACAGAAATTTTGGACTCAATTATGGTTGTAAATTGAGAACTACCTATAATGGCTAGGGCTTTGACCTCCTTTCTTCTTTTATGATCTGTAGGTAATATGTCTTACCTTGGATTAGTCTTCTGTAGAGCTGTAATGGCCCTGCAAAGAGATGATAAAAACAGCCAGATTTCTATTCCAGTCTTTAGGTTTGTTTTTTTTTAAATAATAATAATAATTCTACAGCGCTTTTTAATAGCAGTTCATAATTTTGCACTTAATATCATCATTTTCAGATGTATTGACTGGAATACCTATTCTGCTAGTAAATTAGAGTTCTAAATTGTTAATGGGGGTTTTATATGCTAGGAGTTCAGGATAGCATACAGAGTTTTCTCCTTCAATTCCTCTCCCCAGCAACAACCCTGTATGGTAAGCTGAGCTGAGAGAATGACTGGCCCAAATTAATGAACTAATTTTCCATGGAGGACAGTCTGTCACCCCATGGCAATCTTACACTCTTTTTCAAATATGTATACAGAACTGTAAGTCATTATAACTTTATGGCCTTTAAAAGAATATTATGAAGTCAGCCCCCACTGTTCTGTTTAAATTAAGACAGCCATCCAAGAGCTTAAAAACATGTTTATAGTCTCACATAATTGACTGTATTCTATTAGATGTTTGAAGTTTTCCCTTCCATATTTCCCATCACATATCCCTAAAAGCATTCCAAGTATTTTAACAAACAGCTTGTTAGACAAGGCTGTCTGTTGTGGCAAGCAATTAGCTGAGCTCTTGAACCTTGCTACCTGGGATCCTTTTAATAGGCAAAGCATACTTTATGCTACAAAACAATCTCTAGGCAACTCTCTCAATAAGAACCATTCTACTCAGTGGTGGGATTCAAATATGTGAACAACCGGTTCTCTGTGTGGACTTCTCTGTCCAGAAGTCCACTCTGGGTCTGGGCAATAAAAAATTAGCTATCGATTCTGCCGAAGTGGTGCGAACCGGCTGAATCCTACCATTGATTCTACTGCATTGTAGTTACTTTAAACCACATCTAGACTCTACTAGTAAATACAGTATATTATTCTGGCTTTCAGGTATTTTAAAAGAAGATAGTATAAGGACTGATTAGAAATGTTGCTCTTAATCAGTGTGTTCTATTTAAGGCACTGCTCCAGTTTTCTCATTCTAACTATAAACAGCCGAAAATGATTAGTGCCGCAGAACTGCACAGAAAAATAGTTGACATCACCCTGTAAAATAGAACTGTTGCATTATAGGCAGGATGGGTCAACAAATGGGAAGGACTTGCTTGGTGTATTTCTTAAGAATCTCCCCATCTAAGCCACTTCTATAATCAACAATACACTGAATTGACTACTAAACACATGTGCACATATATACAGCAGAATCCTATTCACATTTACTTAGAATTAAATCTATATCAGTGTACCCTAAGGAAAAAGGATATAGGAGAACTAGGGAGTAGTTAACGGGTTGGAGGAAGACTGAGTCCAAATTTACCTCTAGCCATAGAAATTCACTGAGCCATAGAAACTTACTGAGAGACTTTGGGCAATTATGTCTCAGCCAGTCTACTTTGTAACATTTTGTTGTGTGGATAACAGGAAAGAAGGTCTCCATGGAAGCTACCTTGAGCTCATGAAGCTTAGAGAAACCAGGAAACTATTATGTAAATACTGAGCTGGCACATTCAAGGTGGAGAGAAGATCTTCTCACAGTCCATCAACTAGTAACTGCGGAAGGAAAATACTTATGGTTTAAAGCCTGGGGCTGACCTGCTTGAAGAGAGCTGGATTTTTTCCAGCCTTGATTGAATTGGGAACCGTCCAGAATTCCAGATAAACAAATGAAACTCAACCCTTCCAGAATCAATCTGCATAACCTTCATTTTGATCATTATAGCTGAATGATTAATTAATTGCTACATTTGCCAAATCATATACATGCAAAGAGCAAGTTGGACAGTAACCCCTACAAGGAATGCTAATGGCAGGGAGATAATTGATAATGCATCCAGATTGGTCACTGCATAATCAGGAAACTTCTGCAGAATGTTCCTGGAAATCTATCCTACTTTTCAAGCCCATCATAAAGATGTTTTAATCAATCAAGAGTCACTTTGGGTTACTTTATGGTTTTATAGGAGAATGCCCCTCTTATAATATTTATCAGAGACTGTCTCTGTATCAATATACATGAGCTAAGAAAGTCTGTGTATTATAGCACTTATGAACAATTCCAATAACCCCAGTTGTTACAATCTCTGCCTACCTTACTAGACCTGACAGAGCAAGCATCGTCCAAGTCCTGCCAATAAAACAGTGCCATTTCATGGGACCCAGGAGTTGTGCCTTCTTTGTGACTGGGTCTGCCCCAAGTAGTTATAATCCTGACAGCTGGATTCTTCTTTCAACTATTAGGCCAGGATGCAGACCCACGTAATAATGTTTATTTGGGATTTTTTTTTTGTTTCCTGCCTGATGATGTATTAATGGGACGTTGTTGTTGTTGTTTTATTTTGCTTTGTGTGACATGGTGCTTTTAATTCTTTGTAAGCCATCTAGAGTCACTTGATGAATGAGCAGCTGGAAACCAAATAAATAAATAAAGCAAGTCTACAGGTCTTCAGATGGTGCAGTCTATCATTACACCTAACCACAAATACTGTACTTTACAAAGCACAAGAATAACAAAAAGATATTTATTTAGCAAATGTATAATGCTCAGTCCCGTGACTCTAGGTAGCTTGCTGAGACACGGTAAAAAAAAAACCAGTTAAAACTACCCCATGTGCCTCCAGCACTGTAACTGGCCTAGTTAAAACAGTATGTTTTAAGCCTCTTCCCGTAACTGTAAGAGGGGAGCAATCTCAAGTCCTTCTCAAAATCATTACACAGTGTAAATCTTGCTACAGAAAAAGCAGAATTATTAAAATATATGGATGATTGAATCTGTTAGATGTTAAGAACTCAGAGTCCTGTCAAAGGTGTGCGAGCCAAGTCCTATAGTTCATTTGGGTGTAAACTTGTGAATTAGTCCAAAGAGGAACTGGCAAACAATATGTGAAACAGCCAAGGAAACAGATAAAATACTTCAATACAAAATTGCCGTTTGAATCTGAAGTATATCCAGTCTTACCTGCATAATCCTTGTTCGGATTTTAGACCAGCCAATAGTAAAAATGGCACTCTATTAATATATAACATTTAAAATCTTACATTGGGCATGGATTTGAGGAAAGTATACTGAAAATTCACGTACAGAAATACTTCTCCAATTGCATATGTGATTTTAACTAGACTAGCAAACAGAAGTACCTTGTAGCTCCCTGCCATTGTTAAATAGGTTTCCATGCAAATTATATAGGGCTATTATCCCCACCTGTGTATGCCCAGTTTAGTTTCACTTGGATTTCAAAACCTTCAATGAAGATCAGAATCCTTATGCGATTCCTTTGTGTCAAACTGCTCACATCTTCAGATATTTCTATAGTGCAGCCGCTGCTCTCAAAGAATGGAAATGCAACCTCACTGTGAAAATTTTGCCAAAAAAGGTTGGCAGGAATGCTTTAATCAGAGTAGAGAAGAAATGTGCCCTGAAATAGGCAAAAGGCAGAAAGAGAGAGCAAAGGCATCTTTCAACCCAAGGTAGGCTTACTTTTATTTAAATTTAAAACCACATTTGCAACCGGGAACAAAATTACATTGCGTGTTGGATTTTTCCTACTATAGGGTTATAGCTTTTACACAATAATTTTCATCCAGAGAGTTCAAAAAATGATTTAGAGAGGATACAGTAATTTATTTCTTAATCCTTTGGTAAGATTAAGTAGAGTTCCAACAGTTCCCTCTAAACAATTCAGCAAATCAATGAAAAAGCCAGTTTTGTTGAGTTACAGCCCACATCAATCCATACATCCAATCCACAGCCATTTTGGATGGCTGTCCCTCTGAGTTTCTTCTAATAACTTAAGCTTATTTTGCCTGTTTCATGGAAGATACATTATTGGTGAAATTCTCCTTCAGGTTGTATCAGACTTCTATCTTGACTGAAAGCTTTTGTAGTAAATTAGAGGTCTACCAAATAGCTGGGATTTGTTTGGAAATATGTTCATAAAGTAAGGCTATCTTTCAAGTGAACATGTGAAGGTTTTTGACTATCGTTCACTTTTTTCTTCTTCCTTTGTGACATTGTCCTTAGTTTGCAGCCAAACCTGATTTTTTTTCCCCCTTCAACTGCTTTTTTCATCTCAGTCCTATTCAGCTGCAGCCCATTTTCTTTGGTCATGATAGAAAAATCATTGCAACCCTGTATGCATTTTTGTGGAAATCAATGGATTTAGTAAGGTTTTTGAACAGGCTGTAGTTGCACATGGGAAAGGTATTCTTGCTCTCTACATTATCCATCTCTAGAATTTTTGTTTCTTTCCATACCTTTATTCTGATTCTACTTCCAAGGCTTTGAAGGCTTAGAATTCTACTGAATTAAAATTCTCTTCACCTAATCTTGATTAGGCAAAAAAGTGAACCAACATGAATTTTGCTATTTCCATTTCTGATTCTAGTTGTCCTCTGCCCTGACTTGCTATTGGATGTGGTGTCCTAATTTTATGTGTGCAAGGCACACTGGGTGAAATGATTGACAGAAAGAGAAGACAGGCTGTTCCTTCTAAACTGTACATTTTATTCCAGACCTTCTAATATTAGATTGGTTTGTAATCTTGGCTTGGCTAAATTGGATTCCCTTCCTGCACTTTTTTTGATGCAGTAGAAAATAGACAAACCTGAGTCAAATTCACAAGCTTCTTGCCCCACCATTTTTTAGCTTGTTTTCTAATGCAGTGGAAAAAAGTTTTTTTGCTAGACGATTGATTTAGGCAGAAAAATAAACCAACATGGATTTTGCTGTTTCCATTTCTGATTCTAGTTGTCCTCTGCCCTGAGTTGCTACTGGATATGGTGTTCTAATAGTCTGTAGAAGTGCAGAGGTCATGTGCCTAGAGGATTTGTGAAACTGCCAGATTCTGTGTAGAGTTACAATACTGTAATAGGAAGTATAAAAAAGAATATGTGGTAAGGGATGAAATGAAGAATAAAAAAATAAGAAAAATAATAAGAAAAAATGCATATAAGAAAATGCTGCAAAAAATAAGGATGAGAGAAATGCAGTTACAAATAATTAAATAATCAAAAGAGCAGAGAAAATGTAGAGTGATTTTGATGGAATTAAAAAAAACATTTTGAAGGTGAGGACAGATGGCTAGACAAATAGCCCCCAGCAAAGTTTGCGAATTAAAAATAAAGATGATGAAATTATTTGGGATGAAATCGAAGGAGGAAAGCATTAAAGCAACATGTCAGAGATCTGTATATGAATGATAGTGATATATTAAAGAATGGAATTTTAACAAAACAAATTTGCTATAAAAACTAACTCCAAAAGTGTTGGATAAATGTCATAACATGCCATGAGAATGTTGAAAAATGGAAGGTTGCAGGAATAGATAGTGTGATTGCGGGGAGGTGTGATGGCTGTTGGGGAGAAAACATTGTGACTTTATTTCAGGTGGGTATTTACAGGTAAGAATTTTGCTCTTCAACAAGTCAATGAGAAATGAATGTGAGAAAGAATGTTCATTGCACATTTGTTGATATAAAGTGAATGACACCATGAACAGAATAAAATTATGAATCTTTTCCATGAATATGGAATTAAAAGTTGTTTGCTGAATGTAATTGGAGCAATACACAAGAAGAATAATGCATGAATCAGAATAAATAGAATGCTTAGCAAACAGTTCATCCTTGAAAAAAGGAGTAAGACAAGGATGACTGATGACTCTTGATTATTTAGTGTATTTATGGACAAACGCATGTGTTAAGTTTAATGTTGGTTGAAAGAAATTTTTCTGTGTATAACAGCATACTTCTAGATGGAAGGGGGAAAGTTAACTGTGTCCAGAGTACCCTAAAATAAGTTGAATGCAGCAGTTTAGGGGTAATTAAGAAATTGCATTGTAAAATAGGAAGAGAGAACCAGATGCAAATGGATGATGAATGAATGTGATTTGAATACAAAGTGAGCAACCAGCAAATGGTTGGTCGTGTAGAAAGAATGACGATCAGATTGTAAAATAAATATTTCAAGGAAGAGTAAATGGCCAAGAGAGAGATGAAGACCAAGGAAACAAAAATTGGATGGAGATAAGATCCCCAACCAGAGAAAGTGAGACAAAAAAGAAATACCCCAAAGGGCAGTTTGTGAAAGCAGAAAATGGATGTGATAGAAAAAAATGATGGTTTAGCACATCAAAGACATAGAGAGGTACAATGCATGAGGTTGCAGTAAGCTGATTTTAGCAATGTTTCCTTTTTTTCTCCCATTCCAATTTCTCTGACTTAATATTTCCTTATCTAAGCACTGCTTCATGTTGCTTATACCAAAACAGAATGCTAGGATGGGTATATACAGTATGTATGTACAACGTGTATTAAGGGAGACTGATAGACTCTATACTCTCTAAGCTTATGTCTGCAAATCTACTGAGCACAACAAAAACTCCTGGCTCACTCCTTCATCTTTAATTCTACTTTGGCTAAAGGGGGGGGGGGAAGAGAGTTTTATCTCTTGCTTTCTCCAAGTCATTATTTCTTACATTAACTTTGCAACCTGGTGAGATTAGTCTTGGACAAGTTCTTTGTTTGTAATTTCCCTAAAAGAAAAGATCTCATTCAGTTTCCCACCAATATGTTCCTTTTAGGAAGCAATTGTTCTAAAAAAAAAAATGACAAGAACTGCAGTGAGTTTTGATAAATTGCAGGAATAATGTATTGTGGGAGTTGGAGAGGGAGAGGGAAATAACATAGGTTCTCAGTCAAGGAATTCTTTTTAAGGGTGGAAGTTATAATAAAGCATAACAATTCAAAAGTTCCTAAGATTTCTCATAGCCTGGGAGAAAGGAGCCTGGGAAAGGCCTGTAAAGTGTATAGGGAGATCTACGGCAAGAGAGAGTGAGTTTCACTAACCAGAACATTTGACTAGGTATCTGATAGCCATTCTCTTTCCTTCATCCTCTGTCAAACTTTGTGAGAATTAAAAAAAATGGGAAAATGCATTTAAAAGTGAAAAAAAAAAAAAGAGGAGGAAGAGGTAAGCCAAACATGACTTTCAAAAAAGCATTCTTCTGACCAAACGTATTTTCTTGAGGCTTAACACAAAGAGAAAATGATTCAACGTCCTTCAAATGCTGTCAGGCTAAAAAGAAAGCTTTTTTGGTTGGTGTTCATTACTTTAGTCCTAAGGTGTCGCCAATCCAGGAGAGGTAATCAGCCCAGGAGATATTTTTATTTCCATTCAGCTTTCAGGGAGTCAAAAGGGTCGCATTTGAAGATGATAGAGGACAGCAAGGTGAAGATAAGATTGCGACAGTATCAAATATCTAATAAAGATTCCTATATTTATATCTGCCATTGCTCAGGTGACCATCTCAAACATAATGAAAGATGGTAACGGTAACAGTGTATCCATTTTAAAGCTGTTCTTAAACAGTATGGCAATAGGAGGAGAAACCCTACTTTAACATTTGGACAATCAATGATTAGTTAAGCTTCTCTCATTGAAGAGTTAAGGGTGAAATGAAGCAACATCAGGGCAGTGTCAATGAAAAAAATGTGGTCATGCCAGGGTATTTTTGTCCCATGGTTAGGGACAAATGAAAAAAGCCCCCAAGTATTTCTGGTTATTGCAGTTGCTAAACTTGCAAATGAGATGAAGGGATAGTACTTGGAAATCACAAAAAGAATGGACACCTTTCTTATATTCAAAAAGAGAGAGCTACTTTCCTGTATAAGAGGGAAAAGATCAGAAGGGCAATTTCCTAGTTGCTGCAGAACATATAAACATAGTCCAGGATCACATTCATGGTTTACAGCTTCGGCAAACTTCCATGACTGGATTCACACCAAATGCAGCGCCAGAACCAAATAAACCTTAATGTGATGTGCAAACTCAGCCATAATTTATTATCTTTCTCTCCCTCACAGCTTCATTTTACACCAGGAGTGGAGTTCGGGAGGAGAAGGCAGACAGATAGACTTATTGAGGTATGGGGTTATTATAAAAGAAGCTGTTCATAAATCTTGGGAGCTTGAGGGCAATGTCAACTCAAGACATTTTGCTGCTGAAGTGGAATACAAGATGGTCATATCCCAACTAGATAACTATAGCCAACATTTTATGCATTGTGTATTTTAGGTGTGTGGTACTGTCTTCAACATTTGGATTGCAGCACTGGACAAAAGTAGACGATGAGAAAACCCTGTCCCGGAGCGTTGCTCAATTTCCACCATCTGAAAAGCCAGTTCACGTTTTGAGTGTAAGAATAGCACAACTTAAACTTTTAAAACCTCAAGAGATTCTGTTTTAGGATCAGGGATTCCCGCCACTTTCTAAATGTGTTTTCTAGCATTAGTAGTTAGGTCTCTGAAAATGAACTCAGCAATAGATAGTACCAGAAGGTCAGGCTTCTCTCAGATAAGATGAACTGGAAGAGAAAACAGATGGACAGATGGATGTAAGAACTGATTTATTTTACGAAAGCTAAGAAGCCATTACCAAAGAGTTCCAGCAACTGATAGGCATCAAATCCCAGTTCTATTGAAAGTGCAACCAGGGCCCACATTCTTCTATCTCTTTATCTTGTAAGTAAAAGGGTAGAAGAGACATTTTCTGGGGGGAGACGGCAGTTTCCATATGCTTCTTGTTTTGGGAATGGCCAGATCTGATATCAGTCTGCTTGCTTTGTCCATGTAAGAACTAGCTTTTAGACCAAACAAGGGAATGAGTAGGCAAACATGAAGATGATGTTTGCCTGTGGTTTGCACACAGTAATGAGATGTGTTGAATTTTTATTCAGCTTATAGAAATTGTAACTCTGCTTCTACACTGATGTTAGCGAATGAATATGTATGTGAACTACGCTGTCTTTTGTCCTTAGTTTTTCACATGCATAGTTTGTTTTCAGAAAAAAATGCATTTGGCTTTTTCCAATAAGGAAATGACCATTCTAAGTCCAATATTTCCCCTTAATTGGTATCAGCTTGCCAAAGCCTCAAGTAGGGGGTTTTCTATGCTCTGCAATCTTTCTAATTAGCCAAGGAAGGAAGAAGCTTACATCACAATGATCTTTTGTGTAGGTGAAGGCTGACAAAAGAAAGGAGAAAGGAATTCATCATACAGAGAGAATGAATAAATGATTGCAAAGCCGATGGTTAATTTACAAAAGTTGGTTTCTAAGGAGATGCATAACGTTTATTTTGAAACTTGAGTGTGCAGTGTTATTTGGGCCATAGGGCTACTCTTAGCCAAAGGCTGGAATCCACTCACCAAATAATAGGTAGGATCGGAGCAATAACGGATGTAGGGCTAGGAGGAGAGTTCAAGTTTATTTAATTTAGATTAAGTCAATCAAATACTATGAATATGATCGGTTATGCAGGTAGTCCTCCATTAATTCATATATCTCATAATTGTTCCTGTAACTGTTCGAAGTTACAATGGATTGAACAAAATTACTTGTAATCATTTTTCACACTTATGACCACTGCTTCATGCCCACCATCAGGTGATCAAAATTCAGGCACTTGGCAACTGGCATATATTTATGATGGTTGCACTGTACCAGGGTCATGTAATTGCCATTTTATAACCTTCCCAGCCAGCTTCTGACAAGCATAGTCAATGGAGAAATCTGGATTCACTTAGTAACCATGTGGTTTACGTCACAGCTACAGCAATTCGCTTAATAACAGTGACAAAAGTCATAAAGTGGGCAAAACTCACTTAATTGCTTAGCAATTGCTTAGCAATGGAAATGTTGGGCTCAGTTGGGGTCATAAATTGAGAACTACCTGTATCCATAAATGAATTGGATAGTTATAATCCCATATAGTGTATATTTCTTTGTATGCAGTCACATTAAAATTAAAATTGGAGGGGCCATGCACAAGCTTTTGGAGGCACTGGGACATTTGATTTTTAAGACAAGGAAAGGGAAAGGGTTTGTTATCCTAGGGAGAAATATATCATATCATATGAGACATACCCCATATAAAGGTAACAAAATGTCTGCCATCCCTGTCCACCTCAGGAAAGAGGTTGAATCTTTTTATTTCAAATGAATATTTATGAAATTGGAAACTTCCTATGGCACTTTGATTGCTCTACCTAGTTGAGGCTGGAGTGTTTTGAAGCTTACTGCAGTTGCACGTAGCAGACTGGGAGAAATATTTTACGTCTGGGGTTGTCACATTAGCGCTTCAGTGTCATAGCTTGTAAAATCAGACTAACCATGAAACTAAAGTCTCATGTCTGAGGAAATGCATCTTGTTTGGCTGATAACAGAAAAAGCAAAACATAAATGAACTAATCACCAAATAGTTTCAACTTTAGATGGATGGATGGATGGATGGATGGATGGATAGATAGATAGATAGATAGATAGATAGATAGATAGATAGATAGATAGACAGAGACAGAGATGATAGAAAGATGATAAATATTATATTAGATGATAGAAAGACGGACAGAAAGAGAAAAAAAACCCGAACACACAGAAAAATAGAATGGGGGGAGTGGGGAGTGTTTGTGTGAGACAGAATTGGTCTTTCATAGATAATCCTTGTCTTATGATTGGTCACTTAGTGTCATTTGACATTACAACAGACACCCACACACACACAAAGTTACAGCCTAGTTATGAAGTTCTGGTGTCAGTCACGTATCTGTATTTTGGTTGCTTGGCAGCCATTCTGCATTTACGGCTGTTTGCAGTGTCCTATGATCACATGACCGTATTTTACGACATTTTTGCCAATCATGTGAGTGACCTAATTACAACTATCACAAATTATGATTGTACTTGAGGGCTGAATTGCTATCATAACTTAAAGACAACCTGTAATTCAGTTCATATTAAATATTGATGTGCCTAATGGTTAATAGGTATTGTCCAAGTATTCACAATATCATATTATTGTACTTGAGTTGTATAATAATTATTGTTATATAGTTAGTCTCTGCCTAGGTGCCTTTGGTATTTTGGAGTGTTGTCAATTACTATTGCAAAGAGTTGGGATTCTTTTGCATTTATTGTTGATTTCTACCTTGGTTTTAATCTGTTATATCATCTTATACTTGCTTTTGTCTATTTGTCCAAAGGCACCTTAGGGAGACATATAACATTAATAGAATCTATAGTTTTGTAAGCATTTAATACATCCCTGGATTCTTTATTTGAAACACATTTAGTCTGTCTAAAGTGAACCTCAAATAACCAGATGCCAGGTTACCTTTTCAAAGAATAATGCAAATATTTTACTTGCTGATTCTATCACATTGCACAATGTTGCGTTCCTATAGAGCATGAAAGGAATTGTATAACTCCCAAATATGTATGGCATAGTGTAAAACACAAAGGATAAATACAAACATTCCTCTTAGGAAAAAAAATATATACACATACAAAAAAACACTTGGCCCTACACATATGCATGGCACAATTCCAGTATGGAATCTGGTTATCCAAAAGTTGCTGATCCTTCTGTTTTCTAATGCTCCAACTTTTCTGGCTTTATGTACTGGCAGCAGCAGAAGTGGTGGCATTGGGGGGGGGAAGGGGATGGTTTTGTGTGTGCAACCTAATCCTGCACATGAACAAATGAAACTTCCTGCGCTTGCCCGCTGCTTATGCAGCCTGGTTCCCAACAGACCGCGGACCAGTACCAGTCCACGACCTGGGGGTTGGGGACCCCTGCTATAATGTATTTAATGAAGTATAATGAAAGAAATCCTGGTGCAGCATAAAAGAGGGATCACCTTGTGTCCTACTATCCACCTCTTTTCTGCTAATATTAAGTGTATACAAGGGTTAAAGCTGAAATAACCAAAGGTTATTTGAAACCCTTCATGCTAATTACCCACAGTATTGGTGGCTCTGATATAGCTTTTGATATAGTTAAGGTATATACCTAATAAAGATTCTTGCCTGTTGTTCCTATCTTTCTCTTGTCATTTTTCCCTGCTTTATGTCCCATTTTGCCAGTGAGCTATAGATGTTTCCTGATGATTTATAAATAAGCATCAAGTTATACTTTCTGCTAGCTATTATGGACGGCTTGTATACTTAATCTGATCTGGAGGGGGGAATTTTTTGGCATGTGCTGGGTAGAAACTAAATTGAAAATTACCCACAGTGATCTCCAACAGTAAAACAGTAAGAACTTGAAATACCATGCCTATTTAAACAGGGGTTTTTTTTGTGTGTGTGTCTGTGCCTTCAAGTCACTGTTGATTTCTGGTGAGTGCATATAGTCCCTGCAGTTTTCCTGGCAAAATTTCAGAAGGCCCTTGCCTTCTTCCTAGGGCTGAGAGAGAATGACTGGCCCATGGTCACCCAGCCGATGTTGTGCCAAAAGCAGGACTAAAACTCACAGTCTCCTGTTTCTGCTCCAGTGGCTTAATCATGCTTTAATCACTACACCAAACTAGCTCTCAGGATATTAGCAACATTTCATTTTCTCTTCTGGCTTTTGCCAGCTAATCTTCATTTGGAACCCATGGCATGGATATCTGGGGTACAACAAAGCCAAGGTTAATATGGATTTTAAAAATCATTATGTAAGATGTGCCATATTGAAAATATGGAATACAGTGGTATATCAGCACTCATCCTTAACTGATTCTGGGAGGTGTGATGAGATTAAAAAAAAACAATGAGTAAAATTTTTTCCCATAAGGAATAATGTATTGAGTCACAAGGCAGCCAATACCCACAAGTTCTAATGTGCATTGAACACCAAACAAACAATGACTACCGGGACAAAATTTTCACGTCAAAATGCATTGAGTATCAAATTTGGTGACTTTCAAAGCAGTTGAGTACAAGGTACCATTGTAGATAACAAATCCAGGTTGTGCCCGAGAACATCTTTGTGGCTCTCAGCTTGAGAAGCATTTTGCAGATGAGAAATATAGACCAACAGAAATGGCTAATTTATTATGAAATACTAGAATTTTGTCGAGGGGAATACAAAATAAAATCAAGAGAAGAACTTCTGTTAGAGAGATATAGTTGCCAGTGGTTTTCTCTTTTACAATTAGTACAAAGATTTAAGGTAGACAAAAGAGCTAATAGTATAATAAATTTACAAACATTTCTAAAATTCTGTTTCCATTTTGTCATTATGGGGTACTGATTAATGAGAAAAAAATGAATTTCAACAACTGTAGAATCAGGCTGCAGCATAACAAAATGAAGGGGGGCCTGAAGACAAACGTGAAGGGGGCCTGAAGACTTTCTGAATTCATTGTAGGTCTGGCCTTGCTTTACTTGTTCAAGTTCAGCTAAGATCTAAACATTCCTATAAATTACTACTGCAATGCATAGCAACATTTTGTAGACCTCATCTAAAGAAGCTGTGGTTGTGAGGGTGCCGTAAAGTAAAAGACATTCTTACAGAACTATAATGGTTTCTGTTCCTGTGCTCTTAAAGACATGTTTCAATAGGTCTACCATCTTCACATACTGAATCTATGCAACAATATTCCTTCTTGATTGTACTGTGCTTTGGCTGTTCTATTTTGCTATTCTACTCCAGCAACGTATTACGTGATTGGTTTTCCATAATTTTGTGATACATCTGCTTAATATGATCAATATGATTACTACTTTTTTGGGGGGAAAAGATTTGCATTGCTAATGCCATATTGGTTCCTTGACTTGGCT